CTCTCTGTCTCTCTCTGAGTCTGTCTCTCTATCTCTCTCTGACTCTGTCTCTCTCTGTCTCTGTCTCTCTGTCTCTCTCTGAGTCCATCTCTCTGTCTTATCTCTCTGACTCTCTCTCTGACTCTGTCTCTCTCTGACTCTGTCTCTCTCTGAGTCTGTCTCTCTGTCTTATCTCTCTCTTACTCTGTCTCTCTCTGTCTTGTCTCTCTGTCTCTCTCTGTCTCTGGCCTCCCCACCTGTACCCCACCTCCTCCTGGGCCTCACCTTGAACTCAGGGCTGAGCCGGATGAAGATGCTGGTCCTTCTGTCCCACAGCAACTCCAGGCCAGCGTTGGTATCCACCACCAGAAAGACGCCCATCTGGCGGATGGTGAAGGGCAGCTCCTGCCCTGTGCCCTCCCTGATCACCTCTGCCTTCCCGTTGCTCAGCCTCAGCTCGTAGCTCTGCACAGCAAGGAGGCTGCTCAGGGCCTGAGTGGGCCCCTGGGCCCCTCCTGTTCTCCCAGTCCCTGCTCTGGGCCTCCCAGAGGGGCCTTGACCACCTGGTCTCACTCACCCCCAGGAAGAGCCTTATGGCCTTGGAGCAGGTGGTGCCTGTGGTGCCACAGGGGACATTCTCGGTGACGACACGGAAGTTGTCCTGTGCACCGCTGCTCCCACCACAGTTGTCCTGGGGAAGCAGAGTGTCAGAAGCCAGGAGAAAAAGCCAAGTGGCCCACATGCACTCTGGGGCCACAGAGGACCTTGGCCATGAGGCAGTAGTGGTGTACCTGCACCAGTGTGTACTGGCAGTCGCCACTGAAGCTGTAGCGCTGCCCATCAAATGTGAGGTAATGGCCATCTCCATACACAGCACAGGTAGCTATGCAGGGATCATCCGTGCACTGCCACATCCTTCGGTCACAGGTGCTGGGCAGGACAGCTGAGAGTCAGGCCAGAGTAGGAGGGGGCAAGGGAACAGGAGGGGCAGCTGCAGGTGGGACAGGGCAGCTGGGGGCAGGAGGGGATGGGAGGGGGCGACCTCCCAGGGGCTCTGTGTGACTGGGGTGGGACAGCCAGGCCCCAGGGCAGCCAGCATCACAGATGCCGACTGGGCCTCATGGCACTGTTGCTAGGACACCCTCCTCGGAGTGGTGCGCTGCTCCGGATGGGCCAATGTGCATACCAGGTGTTGCAGCCCACCCGGATGGTCTGGCCAGCCTGGTAGCTGGCCTCGTTGTGTGTGCAGGGGCAGTTCTCCACCGCAATGCAGCCACCTTCACCGTCTGCCACCAGCCCGTCAGGGCACACGCAGCCAGGCACACACTGAGAGCTGTACTGCAGGGCCGAGAGACACATCGAGTGACCGGTGAGACTGTCCCAGGGACGACTCAGTCACACCACCTTGGAGGGACCCGCCTGGGGCCTAGGGAGCCACAGAAGCAGGGGACCTGGCCAGCACACAGGCAGGGCACCTCCTGGACACAGGCTATCAGGAGGCTGAAGGCCCTTTCATTCGGAGCTGCCCTTCAACCCAGGAGCACCCACAAGAGGCCCTCAGCAAGGAGTATAGGGGGTTCTGGGGCTGTCAGGAGGGGCTTACGCAGGCCATGTCCAGGGTGTAGCAGCTCTTCTGACAGCCAGCCCCGGCCACCCCGGGTGTGGCATTGTGGCAGTCGAAGTAGACCATGGGTGCAGTGCACACTGTGGGGAGTGGGATGTCAGGGGACCCACCACTCCTGCCAGGCTCTCTCCCAAGAACATGAGCTGCCCTAATGCCTGGACCCTTGTGTGCAGAAAGGACCTGTCTGTGCCACATGCACACTGTATGTGTGTGCACATGAGTGTGCACTGTGTATGTGTGCATGTATGTATGTACACTATATACACACATGTGTACATGTGTACACGTGCAGTGTGTACATGTGTGTGAGTGTATGTTCGTGTATATGTGCACGTGAGCCTGTGCAGTGTGTACATGTGTATGTGTGAGTGTACTGTGCACATGCACGCCTGTCTGTTGTACATTTGTGTGCCTTGTGCTATGCTTGTGTGTGCAGTGTGTACATGTGCTTGTGTGTGTGTGAGCATATGCATGAATGTGCCTTGTGCCTGTCCTTGTGTGTGCACATGTCCGTGTGTGCACATATGCATGTGCACATGTATGAGCGTGTGCTGTGTGTGCAGTACCCATACCCATGCCATCCGCTGGCAGAGCCCACAGGACACACGGAATGCCTGACCCAGAGAAGCTGACCAAAACCCCAGCCTGGTGCACTTGGGGTGAGGTTAAGCCGGAATGCACTGGGGGGCTTCTCATGGGCATTGTGAGGCCCAAGGGCTGTGGTCCTGACTCACCTGGTGTGGGGGCAGGGCCTCCGAGGCAGCTCAGCGTCCCCTGTGTGCAGGTGCTGCAAGGGGAGGATGGTCAGAGTGTGTCGGCCGCAGGCAGGCTCTGGGGACCCCCCCTTCCTCGGCAGGGCTCTTACCAGATGGCCCCGCTATCGTGCACTGACTCCCCGTTGGGAACCACGGCACCCCTGTGGTAGCAGGGACAGCTGGTGGCTGGCACACACACACCCGTGTCATCCAGGACAGTGCTCTCGGGGCAGGTACAGCCATCCACAGGCACAAAGGGGATGTGGCAAGTGATATCCCCCTCGCTCAGGGCGCGGCACGTGGGCTGGCAGGTGCTGATGTTGTAGCGGTAGGTCATGGACTTGGGGCAGGTGGTCATGGGCTTCTCTGAGCAGGGCAGGAAAAGAGTGAGCTGGTTACTGGGGCCACCACAAGGCCAGCCCCCCACCCAACCCTCAGGCCTCAGCCCGGTGCGGGGCCACTCACTGCAGACGCCATCTCTCCAACCATGGAGCAGCAGGCCCCGGGCGGCACAGGCGCGCACGTAGGAGGACAGGGCCGCGCACAGGCAATCCTCGCTCCTCTCACAGTTGCAGGTGTCGAACATGCAGTGCTGGGCACAGCAGCAGTGTCAGGGTCTGGCCCACATGGGGCCCCACATGTGGCCCTGCAATGGTTGCCCTGCAGTGCCCTCCCTCCCAGTATCTTCCCTGCTGCCTGGGGACCACCCAAGTCTCCATGAGGCCCTGACCTCTCAGCAGGATTGATGGTGGGAGTGCCAGGGAGAGGTGGCTGCATGGAAACCAGGGCCTGATCCTTGGCCGGCCCTGTACTCTCCCTTCAGCTAGGAAGCCTGGGGGTTTAGTGCCTGGGCCTGGTTTAGGGCCAAAGGCAAAGAGGACTTGGCGAATATATGGTGAGTAGATGGAGAAGCAGGGCACACAGCCAGAGGGACAGCCCAGTCCTCCCAGGAGGCAGCCACGAGGCCCAGTGTCAGGAGTGCCACCCTAGGAGAGAGGCCATCCTTACCAAGTAGAAAGTGAGGGGGTTCACGGCAGCATGGCAGGGGGCAAAGGGGCCTTGGGTGTCAGTCAGCAGTGAGCACCAGTGCTGAGCGTACTTCTCTGTGGGCAGAGAGGAGCAGCCATCAGTGGGCTCACTTGCCGGCCGGCCCTGCTGCTGGCCTGGGCTTTGGGAATCTGGCTTCCCTGGACAGACACTTCCACAGGTGACATGGTGTCCTCCCCTTCACTCAGACCACCACCTGCTAAGGGCACCAGTGGCCTCCACCTTGGACAGACAAGTGAGGCCCTTCTAGTCCCTCTGGCCACAGTGGATGGGAGGAGTCCAGGACCAGCCAAAACAGCCTCCTGCCCTTCCCCTTCCCCTGGCGCAGGGCCCCAGTTCACAGTGCTCTGTGCCAGCTATGAGTTGGCCCCACGTGAACACACGCACCGTTCTCCACGCTCAGGGAGCAGGGATCCTCGAAGCTGCTCCTGACGTTGGGGCAGGCAGCCCGGGTCTTCCAGGTGTTGGCAAAGGCCACAGCCGTGCCCTCTACCACCCCACTGAGGGCTGTGAAGTCATCAGCCTGGTTCTGGTTGAAGTTCCCACACAGGCCTTGGGAAGGGAAGGCAGTGAGGCCTCACGCTCTGGCTGACGAGGTGGGCTTAGGGGACTGGGAAGGCGATGCCTCTTACCACAGGTCAGCCCATGGAACTCAGGTGCCAGCCTCACAAACACCTGCATGGTGGGTACCAGCTGGATGTCCACCTGGAGGCCCAGGTTGGTCTGAGCAATGATGAAGAAGGTGGAGGGTCTGAAGAGGGTGACATTGGCTGTGAACACAGAAAATGAGGGTTTTATGGGGCAGTGGGGACAGGACCCTGGCTGGCTGGGGGATGGAGGGACTGGCACCCTTACCTGTAGACACAGGCAGCTGGGTATAGATCTGGTTCACAAACACCTCCCCACTGGCCTTCACCTCGACCACCTGAGGCAGAGCAGAGTAGCCAGAGTCAGCACAGGGCCAGGCCTACACTGTGTCCCCAGAGGTGATAACACCCTGTCCCCCACCCCAGGTCTGCCTCCTCCCGGCTCCCCTCAGCCCCCTGACCACACTCACTGTCTGCGCCCCACCCAGGCTCAGCGTCACACTCCTCAGGCAGGTCTCGCTGTCCGTCAGCCCACACCTGCGCAGCTCGGCCAGCACAGTAAAGGTGCTGTCGCCACAGGGCTGTGGGACACAATAGGGATCCTCACTCTCTACCCTCCCAGCTTCCCCTGCTCTGGCCTGTGCTGCCTGTCCTCTCAGGAAGCCCCTGTTCCTCAGGAGCTGCTCATCCTCATAACCCTCAAGGGAGGTGCTTTCAGGACCCCCATGTGGGGACACTTGGGCACACCCAGAGGAATCTCAGTGCACTCACTGGGTGACAAGTCTGAGAAGGTTGCCCCGTACAATTCTAGCCCTGTAGCCTTGTAGGGAGGGCAAAGCCAGAGAGGCCGAGACTCTCAGTGTCTGCTGGGGTGGGGCACGGGGCTCGGGGCAGTGACACCACTTATAACCTGCAGTGTGGGCACAGGACACCATCGTCTGTCCAAACCCATGAAATGTACAACGTCAAGAGTGAGGCCTGGCATAAGCTGCAACCCCAGGCAGCCTCAGAGCATCAGCACAGGCCCCACATTTAGGGATAGACATTTGTGGCAATTCTCTGTGCTTCCCTCTCAATTTACATAAACCAAAGACTGTTCTAAAGAGCAAAGTCTATTAAACAAAACCCAAGCTACAGAGCAGCCAGGGCGCTGAACGTGGGTCCCCCAGTGCTGGAGGCTCTGACCAGAAACCTCAGGGCCCTTGGGGCCTTGCACTGGGGAGCTGAGGGGCTTCCTTGAGGTCTCAGCATGGGGACCTCCACGGGCTGCCCCAGGAGCAGCAGCAACAGGCGGCCAGGCTGGGGAAGGCTGACAGCCACTGCCTGGGAGGACACTGAGTGGCCACAAGCCGCACCTTAGCCAGCACATAGCTGCAGTCCCCATGCACCGTGTACTGCTTCTCGTCAAATGTGGAGAAGTGGGCGCCTCCGAGCACAGAGCAGGTGCCTGGGCATGGGACCTCCTGGCAGCTCCACCGGCCTCCAGAGCAGGTGCTGGAATCAGAGGCCATGGGTGAGTGCCAGCCCTGGGCACTGTCTCTACCTCTGAGCCAGCCCGCAGGGGTCTCAGCCAGACAGGGAGGGCAAGGGCCGTCCCAGTGCACATCCTGGGGGCTGGAGGGAAGAGCCCACATATACCAGTTGGTGCAGTCTGTGGTGTAGACGGCCCCTGGAGCGTAGGTGGCCCCGTTGTATGTGCAGGCACACTGGGACGCAGGGATGCAGCCAGACTGCCCAATGTCATCAAACACCAACCCTGGGGGTGAAGGGGGCAGGTGGGCCAGGTGCCAGCCCCCACTTCCATGTTGTGGGTGTATGGAGAGGATGGGTCTCTGACCCCCTGCCCCTCCCATGGCCCTGTAGCAGAGGCCTCAGACAGCCTCAGAGGCCCAGGGACACTGTGGACAGGGCGGGGGTCTGGCACCCAGGACACGTGGGTGTCTCTGAGCCTCACCGTCCGGGCAGAAGCAGCCGGCAACACAGTGGTCCTCGCAGGCCTGGGAATGCTCCATGTAGGAGCAGGTGTCTGCACAGGGTGAGCGGCACTCATGGTACTGCATGTTATGAGGGCACGTCTGGGCTGCAGGGCAACAAGAAGACAGCTCACGTCATGTGGCCAGCCCTAGGCAGTATGGCTCGAAGCAGGGGCAGGGACACAGGCACTCACGGCATAGGTGAGGGGCCCGCCAGTCCTGGGGCAGGCCCCCAGCGTGGGCGCACTGCCGGGAGTATTCAGCAAGGGTGTGGCAGACGCAGCTGAGCCGGTCAGTGTGTTCACAGAGACACAGGTCCTGGCGGCAGGCCTCCAGGTAGCGGGCAATGTCGACCAGGGCCACGCAGCCTGCAAGCAGCTGGCTCCCCAAGACCTCCTCGCAGATGCCCTGTGAAGGCCAAGTGTGCACACTGAGCCCTGGTCCAGGGCCCCACGGAAGAAAGGTCTGAAGCGTTCTCCCACCCCTGCAGGCCCCCATCCACTCCAAGCCTTACAATGTCAGTCGAGCAGTTCGTTAGGGGTTCGGGGTCAGGGTCCTGACATAGCTCTATGGGGCCGTCCATCTTCTGCAGGTTCCCAAACTCCAGAGGTGTCAGCCTGGTGTCTATGGAGCACAGAACCCAGTGTCCGGGCAGTGTGGCCCTGGGTTCCTGCCCCTGGGGTGGGCTAGAAGGGCCATTTGTGGGCCTGCCCTCCCAAGGTTGCCTCCCTGCCCACACTGCCATGAGACCCTCAGGAAGTCTGGGATGATGTGAAGGCCAGCACAGGGGCATCCAGGGCTGCAGGGTGATGGCCTGAGGCATCACTGATATGGGACCCTGAGCCACCTGTTTGCTGGGCTGGGACACTGCACAGGGCACCAAGGATGAACCTGAGTCTTCTTGGCCCTGGACCTGCACAGGATCCCCCTAGGCAGGGCTGCAGAACACTCAGCAGACTAGACACCTGACAGAGGACTTGGCAGAGGGGAACAGGGGTCAGGGGCTCTGTTTGGGGCAGACCACATTTGCAAGGCTACTGCTTGGTGGCAGACAATGTCAAGGACGAAGGTGGCAGGTCCATAATTTCAGGTGAGGGTATGCAGTCAGCAGTGCCCAGAGCAGCCACACTGAGGGCAGGGCCCAGCAGGTGATTGGTTCCCCTACAGCCCTAAGGCCTACTGGGACTGTGTGCACATGTGTCTGTTCACCCCGAGTGCACACTACTTGAGACTCTGAGGACATAGCTGGCGTGGGCACCAGGGTCCTTACTGTGGGAGAGGAACTCGTGGACCTCAGGGCTGCCGTTGAAGTCCCCACACAGCCCACAGGTCTGGTTGGCGTACTTGGGGTCCAGCTCCAGCTGCAATGGGAGGGGACATTAGGCACTGTCCCCACCAGGGCTGCCTGGATAGGTAGGACAGCCCAGACCCCAAGGGGGACCTGGAGGCTCACAGATGCACTGCAGGGCCTCTGTCTTGGGGGCAGGCACAGGCCACAGGAACCTGTTCTTGCCCACTGTGTGGGTGAGCCTGTTCAAACCTGCTTTGCCAGGAGGTTCGGTGCCCCATCCCCACCCTCTGTCCACACACCGTCCGCCCTCGTCCCCCCCTCACCAGGAGGCTGTCGTCCTGGTTCCACATGAACACTATGCCCACTCTGGCCACCACCCTCAGGTGGCTACCACTGTGCTGGATGAGGACCCCGGACTGGCTGAAGGGCAGCTGGACCCTGCAGAGAGAAGTGGGCAGAGGTGCTGAGGGGCACAGTTGGGGAGGGTTCCCAGGCAGAGAGGGACTTATAGCAATAGACATGACCTGTGCCTCATTCACTGCACCCATGGAGCCACATGTGGGACAGAACTAGTGCCCTGGAGCGCAGATCTCGAGGAGCTGGGCAGGCTAGAGGGAAGCACCTGTGCCCCATCCACTCTCAGGGTTTGTGAATGAACCCATGGCCCTCCATGACTGTGATGCTCCGCTGGACCCCATCCAGCACTGCCCAGCTATCCGGGGCCCAGACTCACAGGCGGCTGTTGACCAGGACGGAGGTCTTGGTCAGCTCCACCACCATGCCATCGAGCTTCATGACGATCCTGCTCGGAGTGGTGGTGTGGGGCTCCTGGCCACGGCGCACCTGGATGTTGAAGTCCTCGTAGGCGGCCCCACAGTGTGCAGAGAACACGTAATTGCAGAGGCCAGGGAAGCGGAAGACATCGCCATCGAAGGTCTTATAATGGAAGTTGCCCCAGGTGCTGCAGACCCGCCCGTTGTGGGCCCCGTGCAAGGCTGCAGCCAAAAAGGTGAGCCTTGGAGGTGCCACCCTGCCCCCTGTGCTCCACACCTCCCAGCATTCCCTGAAGTGAGCATTTAGGGGGCCTGGCTGTGTTATGGAGTCCTAGCACTGTGCTCATGGAAGCTTTGGGCCCTTCTTCAGGCCTATGCAGTGCCCCCAAAGCTGGGACTCCCTTTCAGACAGTGCCTCCAGGTCTGAGGGAGGGAGCTCACCAAACCCACACCTTTCCACCCTGACCCCTGGTTTCTCTCACCTCGAACCATGGGGATGGTCCTCAGGGGCGGCAAAATCGTCACCCCGCGGAGTAGGTTGCCTGCAGAAACAGGAGTTCATGGGTGCATGCCTGGCTTCAGGATGGGGGGTCTCCACAACTGGGAAAGAGCCCAGAGTTGACCAGTCCAAGCTACCGGCACTAAAGTCCACTGGCCTCCACGTGAGTGGGGGCTCCCTGAATGTCCTGTGTGCTTGGTGCATCTGTATCTACAGCTCTCTAACCATTCCGGCTGTCACCTGCTGAAAGCCTTGTGGGGTAGACAGCTCCCACAAGAGGCCAAACCACAAATCCCTGAGTCGGGCTGGGTGCCTTGGTGCACGCCTGTGAACCCAGCACTCTGGGTGATGGGAGGATCGCTTGAGGCCAGGGGTTCCAGGCTGCGGTGAGCTCTGATTGCACCACTGCCCTCCAGCCCAGGCAACAAACAGAGACTATCTCAAAAAAAAAAAAAAAAGAGAGACTCAAAAAATGCCTAAGTCAACATTAGCAGCTCAAAACAGTCTCTTGGGAGCTGAGATTGGGCTCAGGCCCCTTCCTGTTTGGCCCACAGCCCGAAGACCACTCGCCTTGGGGCCCTCGCCCACCTGCCTCTGCAGGGGCTATAGAGGATGTTCCACCAAGGCCTGAAGGTGCATTTGACACTGAAATATCCAGAGTTAAACCAGGAGGAAAGGAGTCCGGAGCCCAGTCTAGATCACAAGTGTGCTTGCTAGCCTGGCAGGGGACATGGGGTGCAGCCAGCCTGTCACCCCCTCTGCAGGTCCCTCCAGGAGGTGAGGCTGCAGAGGGCAGTTACTGTGACCAACCAGGGCCATGTGTGGGAGTCCTCCTGGCTGCCCCTCTACCCCAAGCTCTGACCCCTCAGCATGGCCAGCTGAATCCACTACAAGATCAGTGCCCCAGGGGTGAACAGGGGCTGGATGTCAACACTTACTGTTGGGCCCCTGGGGGACAGGAGGGAGACCCAGGTGGTGCTCATAGCTGGACGAGCTGTCCTGGGTGTGGCCTGCAGGAAGAAGAGCCAGGCTGAGGACCTACATCCCAGGCATTTTGGGCTACTCGCCACAGACACAGTGAGAGAGGGACAGAGGGACAGAGCAAAGGGGTGGCCTCAGTGAAGGCCTTCTCTGCACCAGTGGGGGCCCAGGGCCAGGGGATCTCTGTCCGCTTGAGCTGGGTGTCTGAGGTCCCTGGGCTCTCCAAGGGACATTTATTCTCACTGACTGTCTCCATCCCCAGAAGCCCTGGATAGAGATCCCTGAGGGATCAGACAGTAGGGACACAGTGGGTCACAGTTTGTCACCAGATGAACCCCAGAGGTAGAAGAGCCATGTGGGGTGGGCTCCTCACCAGCCGAGGCAGAGGAGTGGGTGGCATTGGACCCGCAGCCCCCAGAGGACTGGGCTTGAGTGGCTGGTTTCTGGGGTCCACAGAGTATCTGCAGCCCCTGCAGACCAGCCTAACAGCAGGGCATCCACCACTCCCAGGGGACCCTGGGAAGGGGTCTTTGGCCTCCACCTGGAGTCCCCAATCCCTGCACCTGTGGCCAAGTGGTCTCAGGGAAGGTGGGACCCTGACTCCATGCTCCTGCCCCTAGTGGGCCCAAGCACCCCAGTTAGGAGGACAGGCCCCTCACGGAGCCCTCACTCACCCCTTCCCTGGCCCTGCCCCTTCCGCCCCTCCTCAGAGCAGCCCTGGGGGAGCAGAGTGGAATGAAAGGAGAAGCAGCAGGTGGGGCCTAGTCTGCAGCAGCAGGTGGGGCCCCTTCTGCAGCTCCAGGTGGACCACAGCTCAAAGCACCCCAAGCAGGCGGGGATGGGGGTCTTCCTGGCTCCAAATCATCCAGCAGAGGACCAGAGGCTGGGGCCAGGGCTGTGCAAGCAGGGAAGCCACCAGCCCAGGCACATCACCCCTGGGTCCCAGGGCCCAGTTGTCCCCTGGGAGGACATGTGATCCTAGGTGAAGGGGCCAGCCAGACCACAGGACCCTGATCCTCCTGTGTCGCCCTCACAGCCCTGTGGGGTATACTACCACACCTCCCATTCAAGGTGAAAACCCCCACGAGACCCCTGTGGAGGCCCAGACTCCAAGCTCAAGCTGGAGAATGGGCGTGTGGAGGTGTCAGAGCTGCAAGCCCCACTCCGACAGGCCTGGTCCAAGGGAGGGTACAGTAGCAGGGCAGGGGGCTCCAATAGGCGGGCTCCTGCCTCCTCTTTAGGGCCCTACAGCCCACAGTGTGCCCCAGGCCCAAGGGCTCAAAACCACATGGCAGTGGCTGGGCCCCAGGTCTGAGAACCACTCGTGGGCACACACAACCTCTGATGCCCACACCCAACTACAGTTGCCCACACCCATGGCAGAGACGGAGCTGCCGGTGCTCACCCAGGCCATGGGAGCACAGCCACAAACAGGAGTCCTACCTGTGTGCTGGGCACAGGCCAGGGTGAGAGCCAGGGCCCAGAGCGGGGCCAGACCCCTCCTGCCGACACCCATGTGGGTCCTGGGAGGTGCTTGGCAGCTTCTGAGGAGAGACCAGAGGCGTCAGGGCCTTTTGTAGCCCCAGGACTGACTCCAGCCCTGGTGGCCTCAGTGTGAGTGGGGCGGGGCTTGTAGTTCCCCACCCTGGGGGTGCAAGCAGGGGAGGGTGTGTCTGACAGCAGGGCCAGGTGCCCTGAGCACTTTCTGAGTACTGGCTGGCAGGTGCTCTCCCAGCCCAGACTTCCTCAGATGCTATTTTTCACCCCCAGGCTGACCTGTGGACCCCTGGTGCCAAAAGAAGCCACAGCATCGCCCAGAATGACCAAATGCTGCCCTGAGGCTGCCCCAACCATGCCTGGACAGCCCAGTTCACCCTCTGCAGAGAGAGGCTCAGTGGGAGGCAGCAGTCCCAAGCAAGGGGTGTACCCCAGGTGGGACCCTGAGAGGGACCCCAGGCGTACAGCAGTCCCCCGCGCAGTGCTGCCGGTAGCTAGCTGACCGTCCAGATGGCTCCAGCTCCTGACCTAAGGAGGGCAGGGGATAGCCTCAGACCCACTCTATTCATAGTATGGCCTCTGCTTCCAGGGCTGAGAGTGCTTGGTGCCCACCAGTTGGACAGCTGCTCACTGGCCCCAGCCTGAAGAATCCCCGCCAAACCTTTGCCCTGATAGCCCCAGCCCACAGTCTGTGGTCTGGCCTTGTCTGGGCACCCAGGACACTGAGACTGGATTATCCCTCCCAGGTGGCCACAAAGTCCCCCCAGCCAAGGTCAGCAGCTCTATTGCCTACAAGATGGGCCTGACCAGGAGGCGCCACATGGGAGGAATGGCAGGAAAGGGAGAGACGGGCTGGGTGGGGGATGCCTCAAAGTTGTTCTGAGCATTTGCTTCTGGCTCTCCTGGGGCCTGTACCAAGCTCCTTAAGTTCTAGTTTTCCACCTCTGTGCCCCTCATCCCCTATCTCAACCCCAGTGCCTGGGAGACAGAGTACACACATGGCAGGGGTGTGGAGACACGGGAAGCAATGAGGGAATGAGTGTGAATAAATGAATGCGTGAGTGAATGAGTGAGTGAGTGAATAAATGAATGAATGAGTGAGTGGGTGGGTGGGTGAGTTAATGAGTGAGGGAATGAGTGATTGAATGAGAGACTGAGTGAGTGAGTGAATGAAGGAATGAATGAGTGAGGGAATGAGTGAATAAATGGATGAGGGAGTGAGTGGGTCAGTAGACATGATGGTGGGTAAGTGGCCCCGGCCGCTTGTGCTCCAGACATGTGACCCACCCAGCATAGTCAGGGATCCCTGCCTGGCCCTAGGGCTGGATACCAAGCATCTGGTGTTAATGAGGGCACAGGGTTCTAGGTCACCGCAGGGACTGTGGACCCCCAGAGGGCAGGCCTAGCAGGTGTGCTGGCTCCAGAAGGCTATGCTGGTCTTTCATGATTAGGGTGGGGCAGCCTCAAGGCCATGAGGGTCTGCAGTTCCCAGGCCAGGCAAGTGTCAGTAGCCTCAGCCTGCCTCATATCCTCAGAAGGGCAGGGAGGTGGCTGGTCATCCAGTGTGCATGCCTTCACCCTTGACCTGTCTGAGTCACCAGCCTGGCCCTCAGAGGAGAGGACACCCCGAGTCTGAGGCTGGGGCTGAGCCCTGAGCAGCTGGTCATCGGCTGCCCAGGCTCTACAGCCCCTGCCATGCTGCTTTCCCTCTGGTACATCCCCCACCAGTGCTTCCCAGGGCTGCTACTGGGGTCCAGGCCGGGTGTGACTACCCCAGACCACCTGGTTATGCAGGGCTTTCTCTTGACCACTGGATATGGGCTATTAGGCGGACTGCCTGGTCCCCTGAGGGGCCAGCCTAGACCAGATGCCCTGGGAGGCCCCAGACCCCGGGGCCTGCACTCTAGGCAGGTCTACTGGTGCCCAAACTCTCCAGAAAGCCCACTAGGCCTTGTTTCTGAGACCTGTGGTGGCTCCCCCTGTGTCCCTGGGAACCAGTGAGGTCCTGCTAGCCCCAGGCACCCAAGCCACATGGATGAGAACCAGAGGTGATCACCACAGGCCACCAGTGGTGTGAGTTCCACCAAGAGGGTGCAGAGGCAGGGCTGGCCACATTGCCTCACCTCTCAAGGCCCCTCCCTCCACGTGGTGCTGGAGCCCACTTGCACTGTGGGCTGCACGTGGCCAGCCTTGCACATGAACCCCTCCTACCACCTGCCTACCCTGCACCAGAACCAGCACAACTGGGGTGTCTGGCGTGAGCTCTGAGGACAGCAGCCAGGACAGGTGCAGCCTCAAGAACCAGGGCCACTCACCCCCAGTGAGTGGCAGTGACTTTAGCCTGCCTGCCTCTTGGGTTCCCAAGTGCCTTGGCCACCCTACCTTCAATGTGTCCACTTGGTGAGTGTGGCCAAGGCCTCGGATGAGCCACTAGGACTCTAGGTGGGGCTGTGGCCTGAAAAGCAGGTGCATCTTTTAAAGCAGACTCTGCCCCAAGCCCCAAGAAAGGTGATGACCGTGACAGGGAGGAGTCCGCCCTCACCTCCTGGACTCGCCATGCTCAGGTGAGAGGCTGCTCATCCTGGAACCAGCTGCTGCCTCTCAGAGCCTCAGTTTTTTCACCTGGAAAGTGGGTCTGTGAAAATCCTTACAGGACAAAGTTCTCCAGGATGGGGTGGTGCCTGTGGGCAGCAGTGTGCACATCTGGAGGATGCATACACGGGGTTGGGGAGGTGGCAGGGGGTTGCGTGGGGAGGCCCCATCACTCTGCTAGGGCTTAGCCAGCACTCCTCCCTGCCCTGCCTAATAAGGGGATAAGCGACAGTTTGCTGGAGTCCAGGGAGGGATAGCATCAGGAAGGCTGGGGCTGTGGCCCTGACAGGTTGTTCCCAGGTGTTGCCATGGAGACAGAAGGAATTCCATAGGGTTGGAACAGGGCCAGGTGCCTTGGCCACATCCCCACCCCTTCACTGTCACCTCTGTCGTCAGGATGGTGACCCTACCTCTGGCCTCTGTGATTTGGGACAGGAAGCGAGTGTCAGGTGTTCTGTTTGTCAGGGTGACTGTGCTGAGCTGACTCAGGTGGAGATTAAGCCCCAGGCCAGCCCAGGATCCGGCTGGGACAGGGCCTCTCTGAGGGGAGGAAATGGTGGCTTGGACCCCGCACAGCTGAGAGTTCAACCTGGGGTGACCAGAGAACTCCATAGACCCCCCCCAGCCCCTTCTCCACTCTGCCCTCGCCCACATCAGGGAAGGAAGTGGTGGCCAGGCTGCCGGGAAGACGGGCCCCAGCCCAGCCTGACCCCAGTTGTGACCCCGCACAGCCTGGCTGTTACTAGCCATGGGGAGCAGTCTGGAGACACTGGTCACAGCACCTTGAGCCCCAGGGTTGGGATCACCCCGCCCCAGTTTCTGGGCACGGCTCCAGCGAGGTGACCAGCAAGAACATTGAGGTCAGCCAGTTCTGGCTTGCAGAATCTGGGGAGGCCATGGCCCTACAGCCATTTCAGGCCAGCTGGACCCCAGCCTCCTTCTCTTGCAGGAAGCTGCCTGGGATGGAGGGCTGGGGCTAAGTCCTGGAGATCCCAGGGTAGGGCCAGCATTTTCCCCTCCAAGATGAGGAGGGGGCATCTGGGCTATAGCCTTCCCCACTGTGTGTCCCGGGCTAGCACATCGCCCTCTGTGAGCCTCAGGGTCCTTCTCTGTGAAATGGGAATGCTCAGGATGTGCTGCCTGAGGATGACATGAGCCGTGAGTCAGTACGGCATCCTCCAAGCAGCCTGGGCCCAGGATGTGCACAGAGCCAGCTGTCAGCCCTCTGGGTCAGCCACCCCCTGAGAAACTGAGGCCCAGAGCTCCTGCTTCCAGGTCCTGTTACTGTAGACTTTCTCACATCTTAACAGATGTCAGTGCCTCTGACCTTCCGCCCTTCTAGAGGCACATGCCATGACAGCTTTCTGAGCGCAGTTCAGAGGTGAGCACCCATAGGCCTCCAGGGCTGCTCCTGGCCAGGCTGCCCTCTGGTCGCTGATGTTCTGGGGGACATCTCAGAGTCAGGAAGCTGCCAGTGTGGGAAGGGGAAGGTGTCACATTCCCACTTCAGCAGGTTGGAGACCATAGCATGGCAGAGGAATGCAGTCCCCGGGGCTGTTTGGGGAGGAACGGTGCCCGAGAGACCGATGGGACACTGACCCTGACAGGAGATACTGCGGCAGCTTCAACTGGGGGTGTTACCAAGCCAGGACCTTTGGTGATAAGGAGGCAGGCATCTTAAACTTCTGCTTGACTCAAGGCCCTGAGGAAGAGCAAGGGCTGGCAGTGCCCACAAGGGTCAGCCAGCCCCTGCCCAAGGGGAGCAGAGACCCTGCCTGAGCTCGCTGGGCAGGGCAGAGGCTGTACCTTGAGTACAGGACGGGGAGCAGAGCAAATTTGATCTTGCGGTGGGGCTGGAGCCCTCACACACTGAGTCACTGGGCAAACGGATTCCTCCCTGGTCCCCGAGTGCATGGCTCTGGACAGAGGTTCAGGTCCTGGCACCCATACCCACAGCAAGGACCACCTGGACAGCTGCAGAACAGCTGGTGCCTGGCTCCCACTCTCCCACCACCCTGGTCCCGCACAGCCTCAGGAACCCCTTCCTCAGGCTCTGGCTCATGTCACCCTTCTACCTCCTAGTGCTAGGCGCATGCAGAGCAGGAGCCCCACAATTATGCATTCCTATGAATAATTATTGGGTAGTGGCTGTGGGGACACAGACTCTGGGACAGATCTGTAGATCACAGCCCCCGGCCATCGCCTGTCCCATCTTCTCAGCTCTGTCTCTCACGATCCCCAGAGCCCTAAGAATCAGTGACAGTCAGAGACATTGTTACTGTCACCCCCCAGCTCCACTGTCCACACACTGTCCCCAACCCTGGGCCTGGGCTTTGCCCTCTCTGGATCACCTGCTAGGTCAGCTGGGGTAAAAGGAGAGGATGGGACTCCCCCACATTGAGTTGGGATACCAGGTCAGTACCTCTG